GAATGTGGACGACGATTGGGGTGTTGAAATTGAGGAAGATAAAGAGTTGATGGCGAAATCGAAAAGAGTTGTGAATCCAACTTACTCAACTAGATCCAAGAAGACTAAGAAAGATACAAACGCAAGTACTAGTAGAAGTAGTAGCAATGCTCAAACTAAACCGCGTGGACGAGTGGATATCGATGATGAAGATGATGAAACATTGGGAGGTTTCATTGTTAGTGATGAAGAAGACAAGTTAGAAGAAGAGGACGAACTAATTACTGATGATGAAGAAGAAGAAGATTGCGATGACGATGAAGACGAGGAATAAATAGCTCGAACTCCTTAAATGTAAACAAAGAAAGCTAATCTTCTTGTTTCTACAACACTTTCAATGTCAAAGAATGTAAAACAGTAAAAAGCTTACGCGATATCACAGTCTTGATCCATCAGGTTTTGGAGTTCTTCAGTCTACAATATTTAGATATTAGCTGCTAAAGAAACTATTGTTTCAGTATCAAAATCAAAAGAGAGAAGGTATTAGTCTAACCATGTCAGTATCAAAATCATCGTAATCATCAACTTCATCAATCTCAGGAACTTCATTAGGTTTGAAGAAGTTGAAGAAACTCTCGCAGTTTTCGGTTTTAGTTATGGGAATGTTGTTGACCTTCTTTGATCCTTCGGTTTTAGTCATGGGAACCGGGTTTCTTCTCCTGAAATGTAAACAAAGCTAATCTTCTTGTTTCTACAACACTACAATCTTTTTGTTAATTGTATGATGTTTGTGTGAAATTTTTGTTCTTAACTTCTTATTATATATGTGTACATTTGTATGTGTACTTGTGAAATTTCTCTTAACATTCGCTTCTTCTACTTTGTGGTTTTGGATTGCTACAAAACGGTGCCGTTGCCTTTTGTTGTTAAATTGGTAGTTCATGGCACGCCACTAAGGTTCCACGTTCTTAACCTTACAAAATTAACAAAAAAAAAAAAAACCGCTAAGTCTTCTCCTCCTTTTCTGGCTTTCTTCTGGTTTTCTTTTCTTTTCCCTGGAAAATTTTACATTTTCTCACGAACACAAGAAGAAACTTTCCATATACAGAAATCACAAACATGAGCGGCGAAGAAAACATCATCACATCCATCAAAACCGATGATAACAATGGCGATTCCTCTGTTCTCCCTGCCATTCCCGCTTTAGGTAAATTTCAAAAACAACTCCAATTTCTTTTCCTGGAAAATTAATGA